TTCGAGCAACCCCCTCCATTGATAATTTAAAATAAGAAAAAAAGTCACGATATCACCATTGATCCTTCTCTTGCAAAAGAAAAGGAGCACGAAAAACCGTTCCGGCGAACACTTTTGACCGCTACTGTAAATTGGGAACGAATTGTAAAAAAAAGTTTGCGGACAAAGCAGAATGTGGCCCAATTCTTTCATTTATCGCTGTGTCCATTTGTGGTATAATTTTGAAAACAAGGTATACGACATCGACGATGAATGGGCTCCATTGGCGCAGAAATTGTTCGGATTCAGCCTACTGTGTAAGTCACACAAGCTATAATAGACTGAGTTTTTTGTTCTAACTTTATTGTTATTTCATAGGAAATTCACGAATATTTTTGAGATCACCATTGTTTTCAAATCCAATATATAAGCATTATCTCCATGTTATTTTACGCTCCAAGAATAACTATGTGTTTATTTCAGTTTGGATTAATATTAAAAATACTTCTCAAATAAATTCTCTAAAAATTAAAAACAACAATAAGTCACAGAGCTTCATTTTATCCAGAATAATCTTATTTTCAAAATCCAATTTTTTTCTGAGCAAATCATTTGCAAACATTTATATTGACACGGATATGTGTTTTTGTTTTGATATTCCACTAACTTCCAAAATGAGTACTCACATAAGGTCCCATACGTTAAACTCTCTCAATGGATACAATTTGCTAAGTTTTACGAAATTTTGCAAGATTCACGTGAAATTTCAGTGATGGTCACATGGATGAACTTCTTCAGCCTGAACAAATTCGCTGGTCGATTTCAAATCGTTGCAACAGCAGCAAAGCTGCTCTCTTGTTTTCTTATTATCGCTACTGGACTCTATTTCTACTTTGTTAAAGGTGAGACTGACGCTCGTCTCTTTACAGGGACCATATTGCTGTATATCCAGTTGTGATCACTTCGAAGAATTGTGTGTGTTCCACCCAAATTTCGCAGGTTTCCTCGCCCACCGCGACAAAGGATAGGGGTGCGCGTCGTTGAGCTGTACTCACAGCAAAGACAAACATCCGAATTCTTGAATTCTATTCGCTAATTTCCTCAGTTCAGTTATCGATATGCTCATTTTAGGATGGACGTCCAACTTACGCGATCCTATGAAGGGCTCCAATTACACACCCGGCGATATGATCCTGGGTTCTACGGCGGATTGTGGGCATTCTCTGGATGGGACGTTCTCAACTACAGTACGAAAATCGCGCAGGCCAAAAGAGGCTTTTTCCAGAAATAAACCAATGATCATATATAACAGAGTTTTGTAGCCTTCTAAGCATATCGGAACGCCTTTAGATCAGTACAAATAAACCCATTACTTATTTAAATATCGCGATATACTCAGCGATTAAATTCAAGGCGACTGAATAGTTACAGTTGTCGCGTTCGAAAATTATAGGCTAGCACATGCATCCTTAACCGCCGGGGCATACAGCCAAATTCACAACATAAGGCCATTTCAAAATTAATAGTTTCTGGTAGCGGAATGATAGCCAATCGTTTTATTCCAATATGCGCTAGTAGCCAACAATCCCTTACACTAGCTTGCTATCATTAATAAACTAACATTTAATCAGATTTATTAATGCATGACCTAAAATCACTTGCGTTGGCAGGCCTGTAGTCGCGCCGCTTCCCTAGAATCCTCGCGAACAACACTGCGCTGAAAGTATAGACGCGTCCATCGACGCTCATTCTCTCATATTCAGTCATTTTTCCTGAAGTGTTGCACGTAAGAACAGGTATACCGCCCCCACTAAGGTAGACTGAATCAAAAGCGTCCTGGAAAAGTCTCGTTGTCCTTAAATGAATCAAAATTGTCTAATTTCTAAGGTCAAACTCGAAACAAACATCACATCCTTGAATATCCACAGCAATCCATCGTTGGAGACTAAGTTCACATTAGTCTCCTTTTGACGACACGTTCTCCAGTTTACAAAAAAGGCGCGACTACCTACCCTTTTGTCAGCTTTTGGTTCTCTCAAAAAAAATTATAGAGAACTAGTTGGTGTATGTTTTATGCTGCCATACAAAGTTCATAAAATATGTACCATACGAAGTTCAATGAAAACAAAAAAAAACACATAAACCTCGTATGGCACATAAAACAACCACAAACAAGAACAACTGATGCCGAGGTTATAAGAAGAGAGAGATGGAGAGTATAGAGAACTAGTTAATCGCTTTACTATGTGACAATGCCAACTTCCATAATGTCTTGTTTCTTGTACTAGCTAGAAAATTCCGGAGGCTATTTCTTTGTTCATCTAAACACATTCAAAATTCAAAATGCAGATTGCATAGAATTCACTTGTTCAAGGAACGTTCCACTTGCCTTGTTGGTTGGAATATTGACGGTGACAGCGGTCTACGTCTCCATCAATGTCGCGTACTTTGTCGCACTCGATGTAGAGACGGTCAAGTCATCGAACGCTGTTGCAGCCGTGAGTGATAATGTTCAGTAAGTTACGTGTGAAGAGGGGGGGGGGATAAAGAGGAGGTGGAGTTCTTATTGATGTGACCGCATCCCTCGTACTTTTGAAAAAGATACTAGAGAATTTCCCGTGCTACGAGAGGCAGAAGTGTTTACCAGGGTGACTATCGGTCGACGACTCCTCAACCGCTTGTCGAGGATTTTCGCCTGATCAGTCACTTCTCTCTCGCCATGCGCGAGCCGTCTGTGCTCTCCGCGCGTACGTTCACTCTCGGCACTACTCTCGCACAGTAGAGAGCTATGGTCGAGGAATTCCTCGACCGTTATTCACCCTGGTGTCCAAAGAATATGATACGCCCACTCTTCTGGGAATGGATGGCTTGTGGGCGTAGACAATAACCACTGGCCTACAACCAATCACAGACGAGTGGGCGTGTCGGCATCACTCCCGTAGCCCGAAAATCGGAGGAATCTCTTACAAGATTATCTGAGAAGATAGGTTCCGTCCAGTAAGGAAGGGATCGACAATGGGGAAAAATATGCATGAATCAAAAAATAGGAAATATCCCACCAATTTGAAGGTTATTTTCCAATCTCATATGCCCTTCTTGGGTCGAGCATTTGTGCTCAATTTAAATAAGGAGTCATACTCACTGATGTTTTTCAACAGTTTCCTTTGTTTCAGTTATTCAGCCAAGCGACGCTGGGCTCATTTGCGAACCTGATTCCATTCCTGATTGGTGTGCTGCTTGTGGGATCACTCAACAGCAATCTATTCTCGGGCAGCAGGTCGGCACAGTAAAACCCAGCCACGCCTTAACAAAATCGCTCACAAGAATGCACTATTAGTGCTGTTGGCGATGGCTTAAACTAACAACTGCGAAGGTGACTAAAGTCACGTCATGACTTTATTTCACGTAGGACCTTCGAAAAATCTTTCACGAAAAAATAAATAAATTAGGAAATGGTCTAAATATAAAATAGAGTTCATGGTTACAGATATATGTATGCAGCTGCACGTCAAGGACATCTTCCGACTTGTTTCAGCTGGGTGGAAGTAGCGGCGGAGCGGCCCGGAGCGGCTCAGGTTAGTCGTCCCATAACTGTTCGTCTCCCCGAGTATTCGTTTCTTGATATGGTGACTTCGCGTGTCAACAATTCCCCCGGTGAATAGCCCGCGATCAACGCGAGTGTGCAACCGGTGCAGACCCGGCTCTGCCATTTGGCTCTGTTTGCCGCCTAGTGATGCCCACACCACCTCCACTCCTCCTCCTCTATATCAAAATAAACCATAGAACACAAGACTGCTGTTTCTCAGAGCTAGCAAGAACTCGATAGTGAAAGAGAGAATAGAGTGAGACAATTGGATCTCATTGAATGGTCACTCACACACTCGGAGCAGATAAGGAAATGGAATTTTCTCCAACGGTCGTCCTTCAAGAGTTTTGTTCAAAAGCAGATTCAAACAATAAAATCTTCCGATGAAATGTAGTTAAGGGGGCACCCACTAATCTCAACTCGAACTACGAAACAGCTACCCGGAAGACCCATATCTCACCAAAACGCAATACCTCCAAAAAAAAGTCTCGGACGGGAAGACTGTCATATCGTCATCCATATTTTCAGTGCTAGTGAGCGGCCAAACAATTCTCACACTTGTTACGTTGTCTATGGCGAAGCAGTGTCAGCCCGTGCTGTCTCTTCACTTTTACGAACCTTTTCTGCGATTACCCATGCCCTTGGGACAAAGGCTTCGGTATGCGGTTTTGTACGGATCCCGGTATGGTAACCCCTTCATCCTAAATGGATCACCACGCTCAAACAGCCTTGTGCTTGAGATGTTGATTAGAGTATGACGAAGCCTTCGGCACTCGCCTTTCGATTAGAATATGTGAACAGCTGATTAATATTATGAAGTGGCCATGCTCGAACTACATTTTACACATTTAGCCATTAGAATCAACGAGGCGGTCAGTAATCCAGTGAATGGAAGAAAAAAGCGAGAAATCCGGCCGGAACTCCGAGAGAGAAGGGCTTCCTTGTTCGTTGTTCCACACTTTGGCGAATGTTATCAGTTCCGAGTCAACAACATGACGCTTGCGTATATCTCAGCTTAGAGGCACGTCCCGCTATAGTACGACTGACAAAGGGGTAGCCAGACGGAGAGTGTGTGGCAACGCGAACACATACACAACAGCTAAAACGACATCGGCCCAAAAGGCCTCTTGAATTCGCGACCTTTGGAGCTTGCGTACGACTATAGTAGGTTGCCGACCAGGGTGAAAATCGTGTCGAGTACGTGGTCGCAGAGGTACGACCCCCCCCCCCGAAATCGAGATCCTGGCACGACCCCCTCTAACAGAGCAAATTAATTCAATTAAAATAAATCCTGCAAAACAAATCAAAAAAAATTCTGCAAAATAATGCTAAGGACGCTTCATCTTGTCATCTATGCACGTCTTCCATCGCTGCATACTTTTGTGTACATACTGAAATATCGACTCGAGGAAAGAGGCATTAACTTTGTGTGACCTCAAGGCGAGGTTCGTTCAGAAACGCACAGAAATCCTGAAGACACGGGGTTGCGATTCAATCTTGATTCTTGCTTGAGTATATCAAAACAGCCGAGTGTATCAAAGGCCGATTCAACGGCAGCTGCGGCGCGATTGTCACTGGGTCAGATTTGCCGAAATTTCAAAAAAAAACGTCCGAATCTACACCCTCGATGAAAAGGTTGCATTCCTCCATTTCACAACCTTTGAAGCAGCTTGAGGTAGAGTTAGATAGAGCTGGATTTCGCGTTTCCAACAAGCATCGAAATTGCTCTGGAAGCCTTCCTTGCAGAAAGATAGGGTCTGTCAAATTTCGTCGAGTAAATGTCGAGGAGGCCCAAATTTTCACGCGAGTTTTTGCCACTTCAAGAGCAATATATCTCTTATATTGTAAGATCGAAAACAGGAAGATTAGTTTTGGAAGCGGAAGCTCGACTTACTGATGTTGTTGAGTTTTTCTTCGTACCGACCTTTTTGGTATTCAGCAGAGATTATTGCGTCGAGGATCTATCGAGGACGGATCCGGCCACCTGGAAATCCGCTCCCTCATTCACCATTGCAAGTGTGACTCGTTGGCAACACTCGGAATGTGTCTAGAACAATATCTTTGAACGCAAACAATAAGAATAGGAGCAATCGTCATCATCCGATTTGGTATTGGTATAAGCCATGCATCCCTCCTCCACTCACAGTTGCAGAATCGATTGAAAGGTGTTATATGATGGGGACCTTCGAACGAAACTGTATTGTAGTAGACATAGTGTGTGTTGTGCTATTCCTGTAACCTAAAACAACTTCATTTGCCCAGCGCTTTTTCTTCACGGTTGTCGTTTTTCCGACAGGGTCCCTAACAACAGCGTCATTCTCAGCGAGGTATTAAGGGAGAAGGAGCGAGTGATAGGCAGAGGAGGTGCCTTTGCAGCGCGTGCGCACATGTGGCACTCTTCTTTGCGGGGATGCACTTTCATTCTTTGTACTGCCTTCAAATACGCCCTTCTCATGAAGGTGGAGGAATGGAGCGACTGAACCTGCAAAGAAAATTTAATATCATGTTTTTTTTCGATGTTTTCATTTTCTGCTGCGCTATACCCTATTACCTATCTGCACCATGATACCACTTCTGTTACTGACCCCCAAGAGTACGACCCCCCATGGACCAGCCCAACAGGTACGACCCCCCTGTCGAGGATTTCCTCGACCGATATTCACCCTGGTTTCAACGCTAACCACTCG